TACTGGCCTTCACTCAAATCGATGGAGGTTTCAGTAAAGAGGAAACGCTGTCTGTCCTTCACACGGATTGTGGGGAGGGTTGTCTATTTCCAAGATGGAAGGAGCGTGAAATAATTGCTGCACCTTAGTGTATGCTGCACCTTACCTGGAGCCTGACCTCAGTTAAAGGCACACTTTGATTTAATTTCCATAAATAATGACATCATGGCGAACGCATGACTATCCCACTAATTAGTCTCTGCTGTTACACTTGAAGATCTGTATAAGGATGTGTGAACGCAGTTTAGAAGTTGAAGTGAAAATTCAGACGCCACGTGCAATACTGCGAAGTCTAACTTAGAAAGTGATATAAAAATGTCATAGATTTATATTGCAAACACTAGGTGAAAATAACGGAATTGGAAATGCATTCCCCAGCTCAGGCACGCTCAGTTTGGCTACTGAAGTTCTTAAAGGGGAAGCGTCACTTTATTTATAAGTAATTTTCTCGTACAAGTTTAGCAGCTGGCATCACAATCCAGTTCAGTCCTGGCACAGCTTGGCACAGCTTGGCACACGCTGCATTGGAGGAGGAGAGACAGAAACACGTCAGGTATAAAGAGAGTTTTCTTTCTCCTATTTGCACCTATTTACTCCCTTATTTGCACCAACGCATTTCTTAGTGCGACTCTCGTGTCCATTTATTTTTCTACTCTGATTATTTTGTTTCGATTTCTTCTGTTGTATTAGAGAAGTGCAAATGTGAGTCTCTGTGACCCCCAGACAAAAAAAGGAACAAAAAATTCAAATAAATAGTAAAAGAAAGATTATTTTGATTCATTCCCAAAAAGTGGAAGACGAAGTGCCCAGTGTATAAAGGGTGCAGTAGGGGGTTAGAACACGGAGCAGGATGAAAGTGAATGTGACAATGTTTCTACTCACCCACTTTGTGTCGGTTCTCATAATATTAAATAACCTGGGAAGTGATGGTACCGTGTGGCTTCTCTCTCCAGTTTAGTAAATAAACCGACCCCTAAAATGAAAGCGTCCTCTTTGTCGTTGTGAAATGTTACCAGAGCCAGCTGATGTTATGGTCCAGTACAGGGCCGGCGCGTCCATAAGGCGGCACAGGCGGCCGCCTTAGGGCGCAAATGTCCGGGTGGCCGGCAGGAGAGAAGCGCACAGCTCCCCTCTCCTGCCGGTCACTACTTGTAGCGTGGCCGAGCGCCAGCCTGCAGTGCCGCGGACTGTGTGGAGGGGGCGGGGATATGAACGTCATATCCCTGCTCCCTCTGTAGCACACAGCGCGGCTGGCGCCCAGCAGGGGCGGAGCTACGGCCCCCTTCTAATCAGCATGGGAGGAAGTCCTCCCAACAAGACTAGGGCAGCAGAAGGCAGAGAGGAGGGGGCTGGGCAGGACCAGCTCCTCCAACTCCCAACTACCTCAGGCAGCACTTTGGATCCCAGGTAAGCCCCCCTTCTGAACCTGTTGGTCAGTGTGTCTGTGTGTATATATGTCTGTCAGTGTGTGTGTATATGTCTGTCAGTGTGTGTGTATGTGTATATGTCTGTCAGTGTGTCTGTGTGTGTGTATGTCTGTCAGTGTGTGTGTATATGTCTGTCAGTGTGTGTGTGTGTGTCCTGTCAGTGTGTCTGTGTGTGTGTGTATGTCTGTCAGTGTGTCTGTGTGTGTGTATGTCTGTCAGTGTGTCTGTGTGTGTATATGTCTGTCAGTGTGTCTGTGTGCATCTATGTGTGTCTGTGTGTGTATATGTCTGTCAGTGTGTGTGTATATGTCTGTCAGTGTGTGTGTGTATGTCTGTCAGTGTGTCTGTGTATCTATGTCTGTCAGTGTGTGTGTGTGTATGTCTGTCAGTGTGTCTGTGTGCATCTATGTCTGTCAGTGTGTCTGTGTGTGTATATGTCTGTCAGTGTGTGTGTATATGTCTGTCAGTGTGTCTGTGTGTGTATATGTCTGTCAGTGTGTGTGTGTGTATGTCTGTCAGTGTGTCTGTGTGTGTGTATGTCTGTCAGTGTGTCTGTGTGTGTATATGTCTGTCAGTGTGTGTGTATATGTCTGTCAGTGTGTGTGTGTGCATCTATGTGTGTCTGTGTGTGTATATGTCTGTCAGTGTGTGTGTATATGTCTGTCAGTGTGTGTGTGTGTATGTCTGTCAGTGTGTCTGTGTATCTATGTCTGTCAGTGTGTGTGTGTATGTCTGTCAGTGTGTCTGTGTGTGTATATGTCTGTCAGTGTGTGTGTATCTGTCTGTCAGTGTGTGTGTGTGTATATATGTCTGTCAGTGTGTGTGTATGTCTGTCAGTGTGTGTGTGTGTATATGTCAGTGTGTGTGTGTGTATATATGTCTGTCTGTCAGTGTGTGTGTATATGTCTGTCTGTGAGTGTGTGTGTATCTATGTCTGTCAGTGTGTGTGTGTGTCTGTCAGTGTGTGTGTGTGTGTGTATCTATGTCTGTCAGTGTGTGTGTGTATCCATGTCTGTCAGTGTGTGTGTGTATGTATATGTCTCTGTCCGTGTGTCTGTGTGTATCTAAATGTCTGTTAGTGTGTGTGTCTGTCTGTTAGTGTGTCTTTGTGTGTCTTCTTCCCTATCATTGTGTATGTGTGTCTGTATGTCACTGTGTGTTTATCTGTATGTCTGTCAGTGTTTGTGTGTACCTGTGTGTCTATCTGAATGTGTATCAGTTTGTGTATATGTATATCTGCATGTGTCAGTGTGTGTATCTTTGTATATGTGTATCACAGTGTGTGCGTGTGTGGCAGTGTATGTGTATATGTGCATATATCTCAGCATTCAAACACAACACTACACACAAATAAACACCTGCATGCAAACGTCAACACTACATACAAACACACCCCTGCATTCAAATGTCAACACTACATACAAACACACCTCTGTATCAGACACCAAAATTATATATAAACACACACCTGCGTTCAAAAACCAACACTACACATAAATGCATGCTTGCATTCAAATGCAAACACTACATACAAACACACCGCTACAATCATACAAACATACTCCATACAAACACATGCTTACAGTCAAACACACAAATACTGCTCCATGCTAAATACAATCCTGCAAGCATGGGGAATCGGTAGAGCCCCAGCTTTCAAAGCATTGTTGAAGTTGCACGACAGATGGGGGTCTATCTTTTAGCCATCCTGTGTACATACACAGACCGTCATACAGAGACATACACCATGTATGTCTCTGTATGACTGTGTAAATGTATTCAAAAGGAATAAACGCAGGCAACACTCCAATAGTAAGGATGGTATATTTATTGATAGGTGAACCACCCCAAAGAAAGTGCGTCGTTTCGGCTCAGCAGAGCCTTATTGCATGAGCTGAAACATCACACTTTCTATGGGGTGGTTCACCTACCAATAAATATACCATCCTTACTATTGGAGTGTTGCCTGCGTTTATTCCTTTTGAAGACTTTACTGGTGGATCCAGCAATGTCTGCCTGACATGGAGCATCCACCTCTGTAGATGGCCGGAGCATTTACACAGTGTCAGTGTGCAGGGTTCTTTGTTTGTCTGTGTATGTATGTCTCTGTATGCCTATCTCTGTTTCTTTATGTCTGTGTATGTATTTCTGTGAGTGCCTGTGTCTGTATGAATGTATGTCTGTGTTTGTACGACAATGTACTTGTATGTGTAGATTGTATGACTGTGTTTGTTTGTGTGCCTTTTATGACTGTGTGTCTGTATATCTTTGTGACTGTGTGCCTGAAAAATTATGTCTGTGTGCTTGTATGGTTGTGTGTCTGTATGTTTGTGTATTTGTGCATGTATGTATTTTTGCCTGTATCTATGTCTATGTGGGAGAAAAAGAGAGATAGATAGGGATTGGAGGGAAGAAAGAGACAGAAAGGGGCTGGCGGGGAAGTAAGAAATACATAAGAGGGGTTGTAGGAGACGCACTAAAGGGGGGTGTAAGGCACAAAGGGGCCAAAGGGGTAAGACATTCAAGAGAGTGGATATGCAACACTAATGGGGGTAAGAAATTCAAAAGGGGGCTACGAGACACAGAGGTGAAGATGCATTGTTTATTTTTTTGAGGGGGGAGGGGGGCGTCAAAATGCATCTTCGCCTGTGTAGTCAAAAATCCTAGCACCGGCCCTGGTCCAGTATGGAGCCTGCGATACAGGCGATATGTGATGGTTTCAGGCCTCTGGAGAAGGTCTGTACACAGGGATAATAAAACACTCTGCGCTTAGGGCTGGGTTTGGTGGAATTTATTATCATTATTATAACAGCGCCTGGTGGAGTCCTGGGATTACAGAGGTTATATAGAGAGATCCGTCTGTTTACTCTGTAATACACAGAGAGGACACAGGTGTGTTTATCTTACAGAGACCGACACATCTGTACAAACAGTCAGCGTCAATATCATAAGAGACCCAGCATCAAATTCATCCTTTTACCATAGAATATCTTCTAACGTAACAGGACAAAATATCCAATACAGCACACTGCTATACCACGTACTCATAAACCCTGCTCTGCTATACCACGTACTCGTAAACCCTGCTCTGCTATACCACATACTCATAAACCATGCTCTGCTATACCACGTACTCGTAAACCATGCTCAGCTATACCACGTATTCGTAAACCCTGCTATGCTATACCACGTAACTCATAAACCATGCTCTGCTATACCACGTACTCGTAAACCCTGCTCTGCTATACCACGTACTCGTAAACCCTGCTCAGCTATACCACATACTCGTAAACCATGCTCTGCTATACCACGTACTCATTAACCATGCTCTGTTATACCACGTACTCGTAAACCCTGCTCTGCTATACCACATACTCGTAAACCATGCTCTGCTATACCACGTACTCATTAACCATGCTCTGTTATACCACGTACTCGTAAACCCTGCTCTGCTATACCACATACTCATAAATCATGCTCTGCTATACCACGTACTTGTAAACCATGCTCTGCTATACCACGTACTTGTAAACCATGCTCTGCTATACCACATACTCGTAAACCATGCTCAGCTATACCACATACTCGTAAACCATGCTCTGCTATACCACGTACTCATTAACCATGCTCTGTTATACCACGTATTCGTAAACCCTGCTCTGCTATACCACGTACTCATAAACCATGCTCTGCTATACCACGTACTCATAAACCCTGCTCTGCTATACCACGTACTCGTAAACCCTGCTCAGCTATACCACATACTCGTAAACCATGCTCTGCTATACCACGTACTCATTAACCATGCTCTGTTATACCACGTATTCGTAAACCCTGCTCTGCTATACCATGTACTCATAAACCATGCTCTGCTATACCACGTACTCGTAAACCCTGCTCTGCTATACCACATACTCGTAAACCATGCTCTGCTATACCACGTATTCGTAAACCCTGCTCTGCTATACCACGTACTCATAAACCATGCTCTGCTATACCACATACTCGTAAACCATGCTCTGCTATACCACATACTCATAAACCATGCTCTGCTATACCACGTACTTGTAAACATGCACTGCTATACCACGTACTTGTAAACCATGAACTGCTATACCACGTACTCTTATACCATGCTCTGCTGTACCACATACTCGTAAACCATGCTCTGCTATACCACCCTGCTCTGCTATACCACGTACTCATAAACCATGCTCTGCTATACCACATACTCGTAAACCATGCTCTGCTATACCACATACTCATAAACCATGCTCTGCTATACCACGTACTTGTAAACATGCACTGCTATACCACGTACTTGTAAACCATGAACTGCTATACCACGTACTCTTATACCATGCTCTGCTGTACCACATACTCTTAAATCATGCTCTGCTATACCACGTACTCGTAAAACCATGACTTGCTATACCACATGTTCTTATACCAAGCACTGCTATACCATGTATCTTATACCATCCACTGCTATATCACATACTCTTGTAACACATACTGCTATATCTTGTATCCTTATCCTTACACCATATCCTTCTCTCCTCCATCCTACACCATATGTTTCTGTCCTCCATCCTGCACCATGTCCTTCTCTCTTCCATCCTGCCCCATATCCTTCTCTCCTCCATACTGTACCATGCCCTTCTCTCCACCATTCTGCACCTTGTCTGTCTCTCCACCATCCTACACCATATCCTTCTCTCCTCCATCCTGCACCCTGTTCTTCTCTCCTCCATCCTGCACCATGTCCTTCTCTCCTCCATCCTGCACCATGTCCTTCTCTCCTCCATCCTGCACCATATCCTTCTCTCCTCCATCCTGCACCATGTCCTTCTCTCCTCCATTTTGCACCCTGTTCTTCTCTCCTCCATCCTGCACCATATCCTTCTCTCCTCCATCCTGCACCATGTCCTTCTCTCCTCCATCCTGCACCATATCCTTCTCTCCTCCATCCTGCACCATATCCTTCTCTCCTCCATCCTGCACCCTGTCCTTCTCTCCTCCATCCTGCACCATGTCCTTCTCTCCTCCATCCTACACCATATCATTCTCTCCTCCATCCTGCACCATGTCCTTCTCTCCTCCATTTTGCACCATGCCCTTCTCTCCTCCATCCTCTACCATGTCCTTCTCCCCTCCATCCTGCACCATATCCTTCTCTCCTCCATCCTGCACCATATCCTTCTCTCCTCCATCCTGCACCATGTCCTTCTCTCCTCCATCCTGCACCATATCCTTCTCTCCTCCATCCTGCACCCTGTCCTTCTCTCCTCCATCCTGCACCATGTCCTTCTCTCCTCCATCCTACACCATATCATTCTCTCCTCCATCCTGCACCATGTCCTTCTCTCCTCCATTTTGCACCATGCCCTTCTCTCCTCCATCCTCTACCATGTCCTTCTCCCCTCCGTCCTGCACCATATCCTTCTCTCCTCCATCCTGCACCATATCCTTCTCTCCTCCATCCTGCACCATGTCCTTCTCTCCTCCATCGTGCACCATGTCCTTCTCTCCTCCATCCTGCACCATGTCCTTCTCTCCTCCATCCTGCACCATGTCCTTCTCTCCTCCATCCTGCACCATATCCTTCTCTCCTCCATCCTGCACCATGTCCTTCTCTCCTCCATTTTGCACCATGCCCTTCTCTCCTCCATCCTCTATCATGTCCTTCTCCCCTCCGTCCTGCACCATATCCTTCTCTCCTCCATCCTGCACCCTGTCAGCTTCTCCTCCCTCCTGTACCATGCCCTTCTCTCCTCCATCCTGTATCATGCCCTTCTCTCCTTCATCGTGCACCATGTCCTTCTCTCCTCCATCGTGCACTATGTCCTTCTCTCCTCCATCCTGCACAATGCCCTTCTCTTCTCTATCCTGCACCCTGTCATTCTCTCCTCCTTCCTGCACCATGTCCTTCTCTCCTCCATCCTGCACCCTGTCAGTCTCTCCTCCATCCTGCACCCTGTCCGTCTCTCCTTCATTCTGCACCCTTTAAATCTCTCCTCCATCCTGCACACTGTCCTTCTCTCCTCCATCCTGCACCATGTCCTTCTCTCTCCTCCATCCTGCAACATGTCCGTCTCTCTCCTCCATCCTGCACCCTGTCCTTCTGTCCTCCACCCTGCACCCTATCTGTCTCTCCTCCATCCTACACCATGTCCTTCTCTCCTCCATCCTGAACCATATCCTTCTCTCCTCCATCCTCCACCTTGTCCTTCTCTCCTCCATCCTGCACCCTTTCTTTCTCCCCTCCATTCTGTACCCTTTCTTTCTCCCCTCCATCCTGCGCCCTGTCAGTCTCTCCTCCATCCTGTACCATATCCTTCTCTCCTCCATCCTCCACCATGTCCTTCTCTCCTCCATCCTGCACCATATCCTTCTCTCCTCCATCCTCCACCTTGTCCTTCTCGCCTCCATTCTCTTGCACCATATCATTCTCTCCTCCAAAATCCCATCCACCATCAGTCGCTACTCTCCTCCATCTGCACCCTTTCTTTCTCCACATCCATTCACCAGCCCTTTCTTTCTCCCTCCATCGCGCTTTCTTTCTCCCTCCATCCTGCGCCCTGTCAGTCTCTCCTCCATCATATTGCCATATCATGCTCCTCCATCCTCCACCATGTCATTCTCTCCATCCATCCTGCACCATATCAGCTATATATCCATCCTGCACCATGTCATTTCTCTCCTCCATCATACCATCATTATATCACTCCATCCTGCCATAATCGCCCTACTCTCCTCCATCCATAGCCTGTTCTTCTCTCCTCCATCCTGCACCATGTCCTTCTCTCCCATCAAATCCTACACCATATCGATTCTCCTCCATCCTGCCAATGTCCTTCTCTCCTCCATTTTTGCGTGCCTTCTCTCCTCCATCCTCTACCATGTCCTTCTCCCCTCCGTCCTGCACCATATCCTTCTCTCCTCCATCCTGCACCATATCCTTCTCTCCTCCATCCTGCACCATGTCCTTCTCTCCTCCATCGTGCACCATGTCCTTCTCTCCTCCATCCTGCACCATGTCCTTCTCTCCTCCATCCTGCACCATATCCTTCTCTCCTCCATCCTGCACCATGTCCTTCTCTCCTCCATTTTGCACCATGCCCTTCTCTCCTCCATCCTCTATCATGTCCTTCTCCCCTCCGTCCTGCACCATATCCTTCTCTCCTCCATCCTGCACCCTGTCAGCTTCTCCTCCCTCCTGTACCATGCCCTTCTCTCCTCCATCCTGTATCATGCCCTTCTCTCCTTCATCGTGCACCATGTCCTTCTCTCCTCCATCGTGCACTATGTCCTTCTCTCCTCCATCCTGCACAATGCCCTTCTCTTCTCTATCCTGCACCCTGTCATTCTCTCCTCCTTCCTGCACCATGTCCTTCTCTCCTCCATCCTGCACCCTGTCAGTCTCTCCTCCATCCTGCACCCTGTCCGTCTCTCCTTCATTCTGCACCCTTTAAATCTCTCCTCCATCCTGCACACTGTCCTTCTCTCCTCCATCCTGCACCATGTCCTTCTCTCTCCTCCATCCTGCACCATGTCCGTCTCTCTCCTCCATCCTGCACCCTGTCCTTCTGTCCTCCACCCTGCACCCTATCTGTCTCTCCTCCATCCTACACCATGTCCTTCTCTCCTCCATCCTGTACCATATCCTTCTCTCCTCCATCCTGCACCCTTTCTTTCTCCCCTCCATCCTGCACAATTTCCTTCTCCCCTCTCTCCTCCATCCTGCTGCCATCTTCACCTCCTATTTATATTGACAGAGCACGACAAGTGTCCATCAATGCCGGCGTACAATGAGAGATTTAGGTCAGAAGATTGCTGGGATATTGCATGACTGGGTTATTTTTTAGTTAGTTTATAAATCATTGTCTGCACACACAACAAAATGTGCAATATCCCTGAATCAATGCGGCTTTTGAAATTCACACATTTCGGGAGCAAAGAGATGAATAAAATATCAAAAACTGTGTTATGCATTTAATGGACTTTCTTACATAAATAGGTCATACGCGCATCTCTTATGTTCTACTTTCTACAGGAATAAACAGTCGTGCTGGCACCCAGAGGAAGCCAGCCGCTGCTGCCATGGTCATTCACATGTGTCAATAATTTGCAATGTTTGTGTATTAAAGCATTTGGTGTTAAAGCCACAAAACATCAAGTTTCTATCAAAAGCCTTTTATGTTTTGAAATGGAAGTGGAGTGTTCTCAGTGACAGAGCCAATTGTCCCGGGTGACGTTCGTTTATATTGTGAGAGCAAGGGACGGCGAACAGGTAGAATTCTTACTGTTATAGAAATTCTGAAAGGTTTACAAAGCATCATGGGAGTTGGCGGTGTACGAGTTGGAGAACTACGCGTTGCCCCCGTCCTTCGTTTTAATGTAATGTCCTACCACCTGCTATTTTTAAATAAAGCTGTTGTTTTTTTGTCTTTAAAATGTACATATGTATTATGAGAAGGAAGGTATGCGTTTATTATTTAATTATTAAGTACGGCTAGATGATCTACTTGATCAGGATAGCAGTTTGATTATCTAATCTCCTCAAGTCACTTGAGGGTAGTCACACAGGGGGAAGGAGAGATGGTAAGGGGACTTGGAGACCGTTTAATGACTTTTCCTAGGAGATTAAAATGCCATGTCTGATGGTTTAGTCATATTATGAGTCTGGCGCAGTTGAGAATGACAGTTTGATGAGCTCCGAGTCGTCCTGACAGATCTGGTCATAAAAATGGAATAAAATTGGTGGAGGAATCAATCATGTCACCGTATTTACAGATCCTGGTAATGTGTAACTTCGAAGCCTAGATTTATTTACCGTTAATTGGCTGCTTCCTCGGGTCAGGTAATGTCTGATGAAACTTTAGTTCGAAGTCACCGGGGCTTATTTACTAATCATTGAATTGTGGAACAGAGTGGACAGACATTTAGCCCAAAATAGTAGACTCTGAGAGTCCATCATATTCAGAATAATCTTCTGTTCTGCTTTTAGATTGACTCTATGTGTGCAGTTAATCAACAATAAACAATGTATGCACTCACGCTACAAATCATTACATGCACCTTCCTATAGCACTAATTTCTAACGTAATCCCTTGCAGAGGATGTACAGTAGGCTACCTACCCCAGGGGGTTCTTCTTTCTTCCCTTGAATATCATGGGAAAGGGTCCACAAATCTGCAGCAGAGTGCCATCTTTTGAAACCCCTCTTGCAGTGCAGTCTGGCAGGGGTGCATGATACACTGTAATCTTTACCTGGACAGTCACCAAAACCACATCAGCTCCGCACACGCACAAATCACTCACAGACTCAATATTGCTAATATCACTACAAATAATGCTATATTTTCTGAATTCTGCTAGATATCACCCTGTACTGTTTATTTGTGGGTTTATGTGATCATGGAGATTTAGGACTTCAACTCTGAGAGTATAGGGCCCCCTAGTGGGCTTGAACAGTAATTAAGGGGATCTTCTCCTGGGACTGTAGTTTAGTATTGAAAATGTTGCTGTATGATGGAGAGGCCTCCCCTTACCTTTTAAGAGGCTTCTCTGATTCCTGTCACTCCTTTTTGGTTCCTGTTGTCTCTTGAGGTTCTCCCTCCATCCCCCGTGTTTCTGTGTGTACTTGTTATCCTGGGCGTGGCACTGAGTTCGTTCTCTCCCTGGGCGGGGCCTGTTTAGTCAAACTCGCTTTTGGCGTCCCTGGCTAATAATTTTAGTCTCTCCCCTCGGATACCATTGGTTCTGACGACCAGAAGGTTCCTTGGCCTTCCTGGGTTTAAGGTTCCTGTTCCCTCTACCACGAGACGGTGCGGCTTTAAGGTGTGGGGGCAGAGAGAGAGGGCAGAGGTGACAGCGGCAAGGAGTCTGGGCTTTTCCCCCTATTGGGCAGCGGCCCAGCTGGGGCGCCTGCCTGCAGGCTGCATTCAAGGTGGCCGTACCGAAGATTCTCCCTTGCTGTCCTTACGCCTCTGCTTGGGTAGATGCAATGGGTGCTCCGCTGCAGGATTAGGTTAAGCCGCATCCTCTTGTGGGTCAAGGAGTTAAGCCCTCAGTGCCGCCACCCAAGCTAAATTTGGTTATTATTTTTTTTTATTTTACAGTCGTTCTTTTTACATGTTTTTTTCTGCCATGATGCCACGGTGATGTATTTAATAAATGCGGCCAGCAATGGCATTACCTCCAGCGTGCTGTCTGTGTTATTTATTTCAAGGAGAATGTTGGGTTAGGAAGGGTGTTAGAGGGTTTGTTATTTTGGCTAGAACCTCTCATGGTTTCTATGGCCGTTTTCAGTGATCACTAACCTTGATGTTTCAGACTGGCTGAGCGTCATCATAATTGCAGTTTTCAAACATCTGCATCTTTTGTGATAATGAGGACCGGCTACTTCTCAGAAAATGACACCATTGAATGAAACAATAAAAATCACCAATAAAGTGATTCTCAGTTTTCTTTTAAACGCATATTAAAGATTTATCAAGTGATGTCAAGATTCAGTTCAGTCCTGGCATTACCAGGGCACACAATGTACTGCAAGAGAAGAAATAGTAACATTGTTTCGGGTCTCCTCCTCTCTGTATGCTCTTTGTATGCTGACTGCCAGGTGTCAAGGGTGGAGCTTATAACAATGATTGACAGGGAGCTAAGATGGAGGCGCCCAGTCACATGATTCTACTGTACATTTAATTTCATTTTTCAGAGCTCACAAACTCCATAGTTGTTACATATAGGGGATATGTAAATATAATATTAAAAACTCTTTAAAATTAAAATTCTCTTGTGTATTTTTTACAACTCCTAATTTGGTGAACCACACTATTGTGTTTTATGATATAAACGTAATATGAAAATCCTGGGAAGTAGCAGATCGACTTTAATCATCAGTTACTTTCCAACCTTATTATAAAACAATACAATTCAAAAAAATGAATAAAAAAAATCTCAACTAAATAACTAAATCTATACCATGATGTGATGAGCTTCACCAAAAGTTTACCTTTAAGTCCATCTTTCCTATTAAATAGCTCCCTTCGCTATAATTGCTCTATAGATCGCAATCTTTTACCCAAATAGACAATTGAAAATTAGTCGCAAACCGATCTAGTTTGTGGATAGAGCTTCAAAAATCGATATTTTTAAATCAATTTGCTGATTATATCCAATTAAAAGGGCAGGTTTAGCCTCTCATGTTTAGAGGTCAACTACCCATTATCTGCTGTGGTATTAGATAGAACTCGCAAATCTAATCACAAACTCACACGTAATTTTATTCAAATTGTATAACTCATTAAAGTGGATCGATGTGGTCTACTGGACTGTATGGGGACTCTGTTACTGGAAGCTTTAATAACAATTACATTCCTGATTTCACAGAATTAATTTCTAACTTTTTTTTTAAATTCTACTGAACTTTCTATTTGTCAAGATACATAAAGTATTGTATAGTCTTAACAATGAATCCTGCTCTATCCTGCTCTGTTCTTTTTATTGGCGTGACACATGAATGCTACAGCTCTCCATAGACTGATAACTGAAAACTGCAGCTCTCCATAGACTGAACACTGAACCCCAGCAGCTCTCCATAGACTGAATACTGAACCCTGCAGCTCTCCATAGACTGAACCCCAGCAGCTCTCCATAGACTGAACACTGAACCCTGCAGCTCTCCATAGACTGAACCCCAGCAGCTCTCCATAGACTGATAACTGAAAACTGCAGCTCTCCATAGACTGAACACTGAACCCTGCAGCTCTCCATAGACTGAACCCCAGCAGCTCTCCATAGACTGAATACTGAACCCTGCAGCTCTCCATAGACTGAATATTGAACCCTGCAGCTCTCCATAGACTGAACACTGAACCCTGCAGCTCTCCATAGACTGAATACTGAATCCTGCAGCTCTCCATAGACTGAACACTGAGCCCTGCAGCTCTCCATAGACTGAACATGGAACCATGCAGCTCTCCATAGACTGAATACTGAGCCCTACAGCTCTACATAGACCGAATACTGAGCCCCGCAGCGCTCCATAGACTGAACACTGAACCCTGCAGCTCTCCATAGACTGAATATTGAGCCCTGCAGCTCTCCATAGACTGAACACTGAGCCCTGCAGCTCTCCATAGACTGAACCCAGCAGCTATCCATAGACTGACCCCAGCAGCTATCCATAGACTGAACACTGAACCCTGCAGCTCTCCATAGACTGAATACTGAACCCTGCAGCTCTCCATAGACTGAACACTGAACCCTGCAGCTCTCCATAGACTGAATACTGAACCCTGCAGCTCTCCATAGACTGAACACTGAACCCTGCAGCTCTCCATAGACTGAATACTGAACCCTGCAGCTCTCCATAGACTGAACACTGAACCGTGCAGCTCTCCATAGACTGAAGCAGCTCTCCATAGACTGAGCACTGAACCCTGCAGCTCTCCATAGACTGAATACTGAGCCCTGCAGCTCTCCATAGACTGAATACTGACCCCTGCAGCTCTCCACAGACTGAATACTGAACCCTGCAGCTCTCCATAGACTGAACATTGAACCATGCAGCTCTCCATAGACTGAATAGTGAGCCCTGCAGCTCTCCATAAACTGAACACTGAACCCTGCAGCTCTCCATAGACTGAATACTGAGCCCTGCAGCTCTCCATAGACTGAACACTGAACCCTGCAGCTCTCCACAGACTGAATACTGAACCCTGCAGCTCTCCATAGACTGAACATTGAACCGTGCAGCTCTCCATAGACTGAATACTGAACCCTGCAGCTATCCATAGACTGACCCCAGCAGCTCTCCATAGACTGAGCACTGAACCCTGCAGCTCTCCATAGACTGAATAGTGAGCCCTGCAGCTCTCCATAGACTGAGCAATGAACACTGCAGCTCTCCATAGACTGAGCAATGAACCCTGCAGCTCTCCATAGACTGAATACTGAACCCTGCAGCTCTCCATAGACTGAACACTGAACCCTGCAGCTCTCCATAGACTGAAACTGCAGCTCTCCATAGACTGAATACTGAACCCTGAGACTGAATACTGAACCCTGCAGCTCTCCATAGACTGCTGAACCTCCAGCTCTCCATAGACTGAATACTGAACCCTGAATACTGATAACCGTGCAGCTCTTCATTGACTGAACATTGAACCGTGCAGCTCTCCATAGACTGAATACTGAGCCCTGCAGCTCTCCATAGACTGAACCCTGCAGCTCTCCATAGACTGAATACTGAGCCCTGCAGCTCTCCATAGACTGACCAATGAACCCTGCAGTTCTCCATAGACTGAGCAATGAACCCTGCAGATCTTCATAGACTGAATACTGAACCCTGCAGCTCTTCATAGACTGAATATTGAGCCCTACAGCTCTCCATAGACTGAATACTGAGCCCTGCAGCTCTTCATAGACTGAACCCAGCAGCTATCCATAGACTGACCCCAGCAGCTCTCCACAGACTGAATACTGAGCCCTGCAGCTCTCCATAGACTGAACACTGAACCCTGCAGCTCTCCATAGACTGAACATTAAACCGTGCAGCTCTCCATAGACTGAATACTGAGCCCTGCAGCTCTCCATAGACTGAGCACAGAACCCTGCAGCTCTCCATAGACTGAACATTGAACCCTGCAGCTCTCCATAGACTGAATATTAAACCCTGCAGCTCTCCATAGACTGAACACTGAACCCTGCAGCTCTCCACAGACTGAACATTAAACCGTGCAGCTCTCCATAGACTGAATACTGAGCCCTGCAGCTCTCCATAGACTGAGCACTGAACCCTGCAGCTCTCCATAGACTGAACATTGAACCCTGCAGCTCTCCATAGACTGAATATTAAACCCTGCAGCTCTCTATAGACTGAATACTGATCCCTGCAGCTCTCCATAGACTGAATACTGAACTCTGCAGCTCTCCATAGACTGAATATTGAACCCTGCAGCTCTCCATAGACTGAATACAAAATGAGTCATTTATTACACGTGAGTTTACAGAAGAAGAGGTTCTATTTCAACTGTCAAAAGTAAAGACAAATAAGTCAATGGGACCTGATGGAATACACCCAAAGATATTAAAAGAGCTTAGTGGTGTACTAGCAAAACCATTAACAGATTTATTTAACCAATCATTGTTAACAGGAGTAGTCCCAGAAGATTGGAAGTTAGCGAATGTTGTGCCCATTTACAAGAAAGGTAATAGGGAGGAGTCGGGCAACTATAGGCCAGTAAGCCTTACTTCAGTAGTGGGGAAAGTGATGGAAACCATGTCAAAGGATAGGATTGTTGAACTTCTAAAAACACATGGATTTCAAGATCAGAGACAACATGGGTTTACTTCAGGGAGATCATGCCAAACTAATCTTATTGATTTTTTTGATTGGGTAACTAAAATAATAGATCAGGGTGGTGCAGTAGACATTGCTTACCTAGATTTCAGGAAGGCTTTTGACACTGTTGCACATAGAAGGCTTATCAATAAATTGCAATCTTTAAGTTTGGATTCCAATATTGTTGAATGGGTAAGGCAATGGCTGAGTGACAGGCAACAGAGGGTTGTAGTTAATGGAATATATTCGAAGCTTGGACTTGTCACCAGTGGGGTAACTCAGGGATCTGTACTTGGACCCATTCTCTTTAATATTTTTATTAGTGATATTGCAGAAGGTCTTGATGGTAAGGTATGTCTTTTTGCTGATGATACTAAGATATGTAACAGGGTTGATGTTCCAGGAGGGATAAGCCAAATGACAAATGATTTAGGTAAACTAGAAAAATGGTCAGAATTGTGGCAACTGACATTTAATGTGGATAAGTGCAAGATAATGCATCTTGGACGTAAAAACCCAAGGGCAGAGTACAGAATATTTGATAGAGTCCTAACCTCAACATATGAGGAAAGGGATTTAGGGGTGATTATTTCTGATGACTTAAAGGTAGGCAGACAATGTAATAGAGCAGCAGGAAATGCTAGCAGAATGCTTGGTTGTATAGGGAGAGGTATTAGCAGTAGAAAGAGGGAAGTGCTCATGCCATTGTACAGAACACTGGTGAGACCTCACTTGGAGTATTGTACACAGTACTGGAGACCGTATCTTCAGAAGGATATTGATACCTTAGAGAGGGTTCAGAGAAGGGCTACTAAACTGGTTCATGGATTGCGGGATAAAACTTACCAGGAAAGGTTAAAGGATCTTAACATGTATAGCTTGGAGGAAAGACGAGACAGGGGGGATATGATAGAAACATTTAAATATATAAAGGGAATCAACACAGTAAAGGAGGAGACTATATTTAAAAGAAGAAAAACTACCACAACAAGAGGACATAGTCTTAAATTAGAGGGACAAAGGTTTAAAAATAATATCAGGAAGTATTACTTTACTGAGAGGGTAGTGGATGCATGGAATAGCCTTCCAACTGAAGTGGTAGAGGTTAACACAGTAAAGGAGTTTAAGCATGCGTGGGATAGGCATAAGGCTATCCTAACAATAAGATAAGGCTAGGGACTAATGAAAGTATTTAGAAAATTGGGCAGACTAGATGGGCCGAATGGTTCTTATCTGCCGTCACATTCTATGTTTCTATGTTTCTATGTAATACTGAGCCCTGCAGCTCTCCATAGACTGAACACTGAACCCTGCAGCTCTCCATAGACTGAATACTGAGCCCTGCAGCTCTCTATAGACTGAACACTGAACCCTGCAGCTCTCCATAGACTGAATACTGAACCCTGCAGCTTTCCATAGACTGAACACTGCAGCTCTCCATAGACTGAATACTGAACCATGCAGCTCTCCATAGACTGAATACTGAACTCTGCAGCTCTCCATAGACTGATCACTGAACCATATACTGAATGCTGCAGCTCTCCATAGACTGAATATTGAACCCTGCAGCTCTCCATAGAGTGAGCACTGAACCATATACTGAACGCTGCAGCTCTCCATAGACTGAATACTGAACCATATACTGAACCCTGCAGCTCTCCATAGACTGAACAGCTCTCCATAGACTGAGCACTGAACCCTGCAGCTCTCCATAGACTGAATACTGAGCCCTGCAGCTATCCATAGACTGAACACTGAACCCTGCAGCTCTCCACAGACTGAATACTGAACACTGCAGCTCTCCATAGACTGAACACTGAACCCTGCAGCTCTCCATAGACTGAACAGCTCTCCATAGACTGAGCACTGAACCCTGCAGCTCTCCATAGACTGAATACTGAACCCAGCAGCTCTCCATAGACTGAATACTGAGCCCTGCAGCTCTCCATTGTCACATATTCATCCGCTTATAGAAATGTGGTTAATGACATTTACTGTCCACACAGGAAAAGTTGTGCCGAGCAGCAACCTAATCCACAGAAGGGTTAATGGTGAGCAGTAATTGTGCAAATGAAACCTGGTGTCATGTATTCATCCGCTTAGAGAAAAGTGATTAATTACATTTACTGTCCACACAGGAAAAGTTGTGCCGAGCAGCAACCTAATCCACAGAAGGGTTAATGCTGAGCAGCAATTATGCAAATGAAACCTGGTAACTGACTTTGGGGTCAAAGGCCGGTTACAGCCTATCAGAACTAAAGGAGGGGTATTTAGGCCCAGTTCTCAGCCTGCTCAGTGCCCTGTCGTGGTTTCCCTTGTGGTTGTCTGAGAGCGCGTTCCTGTTTATAGTTTTCTACCTGGTTTTTGACTTTGGCTTTGTTTATTGACTTCTCTATATTCTGGTATCCTGACTCCTGGCTTTCCTCATCGCTGTGTCCCTTTCTGTGTTCCCTGACCTCGGCTAGTATTTTTGACTATTCTTTGTACGTTAAATCCGGCCATTCTAAGGACCGGTAATACGTTACTTATTTGTTATACGTGCTGTACAGTTCTACGTGCTGGATCAAACAGTAATCCTGACATCCATAGACTGAACACTGAGCCCTGCAGCTCTCTATAGACTGAACACTGAGCCCTGCAGCTCTCTATAGACTGAACACTGAACCCTGCAGCTCTCTGGGTGTCCCTGCAGCTCTCTCTTGATCAGAATGTACCATTATTCTTTGTATAATATTATTTTTTTCCTATAAATTTAGATTTTCGTCCCCTGTGAGGTGTACCTTACCTCCATTTCTTTCTGTAAGTCAAATCTGCCTCATCCAGTTCACTAAGTATGTTGGTGCTTCTTCAAATTATGATAATTATAACTGTGCTGAACACAGAACCTAGAGTTTAAGCAGCTGTAAGACTCCGCTCACATTAATTACAGAGTCCACTCGGCAAATTTACTGTAATTAATATCCAACATTGAGAAACGTGAGCTTTCCGGCAGGAGGGAAGTCAGCAGCACCCTGGCGAGGAGTACAGCTAGCCTGCTGAGAAAGGCAAACTAGGAAGGTTAAATTCATTAATTTTAGGTCAAAGTTACAGCCAAAAAAACAAACTGCAACAAAGCAATGCGAAGGATCTGATGGTTTGTCTGATTTCCGTGCGTTGATGAGGATTCCAGGAGAATACTGATAGGAAAATGTCCCGTCATTTATTGCTCGTTAAAAAGTCAACAAAACAAGCAAATGGCAAATCAGGATTCATTTAGATTGAATGGGAAGCTTGTTTCCCTGTGGATTTATTTCAGTAACCTGCTCTCTACTGACGCCCAACACTGGCCCAATGTAATCTCTCTAATACCTTTCAACAGGGACTCAGACAACAAAATATAGCAAACTCCCATCACTAACAGCAAGACAGTCAACCCGTCATAAAAACATCAGGCTGAATTCACTTATGTGTTCTCAAGATAGTCTTATTTACGCATGCTACACATCCTTCAATTCCTTGAAAAAGTATTTCTACTACCCTTTCTAAATCACTGCCAGTCTTTACTGCTCCTACTGGAAGGCTATTCCAGGTATCTACTACCCTTTCTATATCATTGTTACTGCTTCCACTGGAAGGCCATTCCAGGTATCTACTACCCTTTCTATATCACTGTTACTGCTCCCACTGGAAGGCTATTCCAGGTATCTACTACCCTTTCTATATCACTGTTAGCCTTTACTGCTTCCACTGGAAGGCTATTCCAGGAATGTTGTATTGGAGTTGAAGATTTTTTTTCAAACCAGCTATTCTCACCTAAATGTTATCATTTGTTTTTTAATTCAATACAACACACTGTTTAGTAAATAAGCCCATACGGCTTTAGTCCAACATCAGGGAGGATTCTCTGTTTGATGGAATGAATTAGGGAAGACATTTGTCTGATATTGTAAGAAATGAAGATTGGTGTACATATTCCCAGAAAGAGGAGGTTGTATACTAAACATAATTGAGATTTTTAGATTGTCTGAGATCAGATTTCTATAGTGACTATTTGACATTTTACAAGTTCTCTTTAGCAAGTAAACCCCTGAGATTATTTAACCGATTGTTCTGCGTTTGGGTCAATAAAAAGACTTGTGATTAAAAAGTTCAAATTGATCTACAAAGAATTCAAAGGGGTCGTGCGGAGATGGGGCTGTTCAAAAAGACAGTAAGCGACCGATCAGTCTAGGAATCAAAAGAACAATGGCGGGGGAAATAAAGTGCCCCCCGTGGCAGTCGATGCAAGGAGCGCACTTATTGGGAACGGAGTAAATATGCCAAGGATATAAAGCATTGGCATCGAGCAGAACAAGGACCACGTTTCCAATACAAGAAGCCACTTCGACTGCTATTTAGATAAGCTATTTAGAGAATCATTGTTTTGGTTTTTTTTCCTCTCTGAAACTGGACTGAAAAATGTCGCTCTGCGGTTTCAGTCTTCTTTGAAATCAATAGAGAGAAAAGCTCCCAGGGATAATATAATGCACATGGAGTGTGAAAGAAAAAGCTCTGATTGATTGTAAAACCACAGTCAGGATGGCAATGGTATACTTATTTCTGAGGGGACTTGCGGTAGCGGGATACAGTGCTGCATTAACTTTGTTAATGCTTAGTAAAGGAGATACAAAATGGACGCCTTCAGAAGTCACTTACAGAGCCTGACCTTTGAAAATGGCTGCTTTGGCAAACCAGTCGCCTTTTATTGGCTTGCTGGAGTTTTGGGGAAGTTTGATACCCCTGGAATATAATGTCCTACATGACACGAGGTTTATAGCTATAACATATTGCTATTTATAATACAATGGATTCATTGAAAATTAAGTCACCTTTTGTCTGGCTACACAGGCTTTGATTTTGCTATTGATTACCCATAAAGACAATTAGGGCCTAAATGGGTGAAAAGAATTGCAGGGAGTCATTCCAAAGCAGTTCTCTAATCTTCATTATTAATTATTAGCTAGTGTGGCCTTTAATGTAATGTTACAGTTATCCAGCCGGACGTGATATTTATAACCAGGGCTGTATCTACTGCGAGGCAAACAAGGCATTTGCCTTGGGCGGCACTTTACAGGGGGCAGCAAAAAACGCCCTTATTTGCCTTGTTTTATGGGGGCATAAGAGTTGGCCCGGCTGGCCACCTTTGGGCCCCACCGGGGTGGGT